TTTTTGAGACAGGGTCTCCCTGTAGCCCCAGCTGTCCTGGAACTCACTATGTAGACCAGGCTGGCCTTGAACTCACAGAGATCCGCCTGCCTCTGCCTCCAGAGTGCTGGGATTAAAGGTGCCTGCTACCATGCCCCACTACTGTTAAAATTTTTATGTTGACTTGCTTTTTATTTTTCCTTTCACAGTTAATTTTTTATTCCTTTTTGAAAATATTGTCTCCCAATTTTAGCAGTTACTTTTATTGATTCTTCTGTTAGAGTCATTTAAAGACTTTTTAATTTTACCTTCAAACAATAAGCAATTGAAACATGCCTTGATTTCCCTTTGATAGAATATGAAATTAAACTTGATGAGCAATGACTATATCTACCCTAATATTTTGCATTTAAATGAGCATCTTTTTGTTAGCAGGCTAAGTGGTATGTTTTTCTTGAAATAGTAAAGTCATTCTTTGCTATGAAAATCAAAGTGACAAGTCTTGGTTGCATTGTATAATGCTATTTTTAAAAAATGCTTTATTTTATAGTCTTTCCCCCTCTGCAGTATTTCCACCTTGCATGATTTGCTTTCAGTAATGTGGTGCTTACCTGTCAGCTATTTTCTGTTTGTCTTCATTTCTACAGCAGTCTTCAGCAGCTTTCAAAATTATAAATGTGACTTTCCTGTGACAGTCTAAAAAAATGTTTAATCAGTGTGGTAGTGGGTGTTTTTCCCACCCTTAGAGAAAACTTGAATCTTCTCCTTGATTTTTAAATTTCTTGGTACTTACTAAACCCTTACTAGGTATTAACTACTTAGAAGGTCTATTTATTATTTAGTCTACTTGATAATGTTTTGTTTGTATGTGAATCTCCGTGTCCCATTTTTTTGGTTACTAGCTAGTCACCACATCAGAAATAACATTTTAGTCTTAACTTCACAAATGCCTTTGATATATAATAGATAAAAGTATTGTCCTTTGTCATGAATTCCCACTTCATAAGTTCAAACTATGTGTCTGCTCTTGATGTTATGTCTGTAGTTCCACAATTCCATATAAAAATATTAAATTGTCATCTTTGCATGTAAAAAGTATTTCTCTAGCTGCATCTGGTGTAAGTATTAAAGTTGATGGGTGTGCTTTTTTTTAAAAAAAGTGTTGTGTCTGATTATTGCTTTGAAAAATATGGTCTGGCTAAATGTGAAAACTTACTGCTTAAACTGCCAAGCATTGATTTTTATACTTCTGGTTGACTGCTTGTCTATATTGTCAGTATTTTCTATAATTAGTACCTTTATAGCTTTGGACACAGTCTTTTAATTTTTAAGTTGGCTCCTTATTTAATTATCTCATAATATTTCTATTTTAAAAAAGTAATTTCTGAAAAGAAACTTAAAAATTATACAAATTTTTAAAGATTAACTTTGCACAAGAATGTTTATTATTTCTGTAGGACTATTTTATATACATTATTTTAACTTTGGTACTGTAATTGTTGGTTTTTAAACATGTATTTGACTAGTTGGCAGGTAATGGGGGACTTGAATCATTACCTGCTCCACCATAAATTAGAGTTTAAGGGGTCTTTACTCCTATTTCATGTATGAATTAAATTTTTCTTTTTAGTTTCTAAGTAAAGGGGTGAATAGATTATTGTTTTTTATAGAGAAGGGAAGTAGATACAAAGTCTGTGATTGTTTTCAGAGATATTCTTAACTCCTGTTGTAAATTTGACTGCTTCTCTTCCCTCTATAAAATTAAATGTTGGCATTGAAGAATCTCATCAGCACAGTTCTTTAAAATATGTGATAATCATAGCATTTATTATTTTAAGTGCTTTATGCCTTGTTTGTAGTATTAAAGATGACCTAGTTAGAAAGATTTATGAAAAACTTGCTTAGGCAGTCCACCTTTTTTCCTAAAAATAGAAGTCTATTAAAAGAATGTGTTCCTAGAGGAAACAAATGACCAAGCTGTTAAAAATAGGATTTCTGTTACCTTATATCTGGCAGAAAGAAATCCAGATTTTTGTCATCTGTTAGCATATCTTTTGTGGTAACACCACAGGTGGTGAATGTTTGTATCCCTGATTGTGATTTTTTTATAACTGTAAATTCTCCACCCCCACCCCCAATACCAGGTATTATATAGGAAGTCAGTTTTTGCTTTGGCATTTCAAAATTTCAGTAGTGATCTCGTATTGTAACTTAAATTATCTCATTTTCAGCATCTCAGGAATTTGGCAGCAGTTTTATAATTTGAACTCCACTCCATAGGAATCTTGTCTTTCATATTCATTAACAGAGAAGTTCAGTGGGACTGCAATGGGTTTAATCTTACGATATATGTCCTCTTGTTGTTACATGATTGCTTTTGTTCAGACATTTAATAGGCTTTATTTCTGCTGCGCTGAAATAGAATAGTGATGATCCATTTCCTATCACTAGTGAGAGGGAGGCTTGCAGTAATTCAGCATATCAGATGCTGGGTGCTGTATAATGCATTCCTGTAATCCCAGTACTCAGGGAGCCTCAGGCAGGACGCTTGAAAGTTTGAGACCAGTCTGGGTTATGCAGTGAGACTCTCAAAAAAGCAAGCAAACAAGAAAAGTAAAAGATCAGTTTAAATTTTAATAATTCTCAAATTAATTTAATATACCAAGTCATAATTTGTAACTTAAACTAAATATTATGTAATAACATTTGGTGTTCTCTTGGCTTTTTAAAATTTTTATGTAAACTTGAGATTAGTTTTTTTTCAAATGGAGAACTATGAAAATTTGTCTTTTAGAAGTGCAAAATTGATGTTGAAATAAAATGTAACTCATCTTGAAATTTGGGCTGTTAATTGCTTATAGTTAATACGTGTATTAAAAAATTCATGCCACTGTAAATTTTCTTGTGCTTTCATGCTGTTTAGATGCCCAGCCTACAGAGTCTGAAAAGGAAATTTATAATCAGGTGAATGTAGTATTGAAAGATGCAGAAGGCATCTTGGAGGACTTGCAATCCTACAGAGGAGCTGGCCACGAGATACGAGAGGTAAAGCTGCTGATGTGCTCTCAGTAAACGGAAACTCACTGCGTCTCCCCTCTGCTTGATTTCTGTTCTCCATTTCGCGTGAAGTACTGTCGTTCATTTGACATTATTTCAGAAGTGATTGCAGCAATATATGAGGGTAAAAGGAAAGTACTGCTTATAAATATGTCATTTAATTAAATCTTTTGTTTGTTCGTTTATTTGTTATATTCACACTTGAAAATTACATTTTCCATTGGGAACTATGTATGCTTCTTTGTGGAGTGAGAACTTGACTCTGGCTTCTGCCAGTCTGTTTTTTACCTCCTAAGCTTCTAGGATAAAGTGAGATCACCCACATTGGGTCCCCCCACGGCTGCCTCTTCTCTAAAGTTTTATGCCACAAGAAATTGTGGGGTCTGTACACTCTCAGCCCTCTCCTCTAATCTCTGCAGTTAACACAGGTGTCTAAGCCTCTCCTTTCCCTAATCTGTTTTTCAGAAGATAGGTCCCTGCTTCTTTCCCAAACGAGCTTTACCTTTACTCTCCATCCTGTCTGAAATTTCACTCTGAATCTTTTTCTTAATTAGACCTTTTCCCCGCTTTCCTGTGACTTGAGTGTACTTCCTGCTGTCCTACAGTACTCGAACCCTCTTGCCTGAGACCTTAGTCTTTTCTCACTGCCACATTTCTTGGAAGCAGTGCTTTGTTTTCCCCTTTTGTTCTTGTCAGTGTCAGGCTGTGCAGAAGCCATCAAAGAGCAATCTTTTGGGCTCCCATTCTTCTTAACTGTGCTTTCTCCTCTGATGTTAGAGTAGCAGCAAGTTAAAGCCAAGATGGTGCAAGAGATGCTGTTGTGACTTGGTAGAAGTTTAGTGTAAGGGAGAAGGGATCCGTAAATGACTCAGCTTTTAGTTTAGATTAGCAGCTGGTAGTATTATCAGGAAAATGACAGGTGAACTCCATTTCCTGCCACTCTTGCTCTGGACTGTTTGTCCTGCAGTGTTGGAATCAGTCTTCCTTATCTTTACTTCTGTCTACAGTGCCCTTCCTCCTTTTCTTCAATTCCTGTTCTTTACTGTCAGTAATCTACTTCCTCTTACTCTGTTGAGTGTTTCACATACTACTTTTATAATCATAAACCTTAAAAAATAATTGATATTTGGTGTTTATCTCTATACCACTCAACCTCTGTCTTTAGGAGAATAAACCTAGTCTTTTGTATATTCAGAGCTTAAACTGTTAACTGTTGAAGAAATAAATATGAGAGCTTTAAGACTAACCTTTACAACATTTGATCCAAACCATAAGATTTTATTAAATAAAGGAATGTAACTATTACTGTGAATCAAATACTCAACACATTCAAGTATAATTTGAAAAGATCAAACATACATAGGAGCAGTATGTAATAGCTTTACTAACTAATCAGTAAATTGTTCTTTTCCTATAAGTCACACCAATTCAAGGTGACTCTAAAACATGCTTGATGGTATCTTCAGGTGGATTAAAAATTATTATAAATTCAGTTGTTTTCATGTGGTTATACCTATCTCCAATAGTAAATGAAGGGGGGAAGAAATCTCATTCACTACAAAGACCATTGTATATTTTTTTCCCTAAAGGTGGAACTCTTGGGTTTTTAAAAATTGTATTATTTCCTGTTTAGAAAGGTTAGTCTGTGTATAGAAAAAGTTCCATACATTGTAAAAGTGCTTCCTCCCCATTTGCATATACGTTGGAGTTGAATGTGTTCTGGAAAGTACAATGAGAGGCAGCTTTACATGTGGGCATTTTAGAGAGGTCCTATGGAGCTGTGATACAAGGAGCTCTGAATAAAATCACCAAGGACGGAAGTTCTCCTTAGGGTACCCAGTCACGCAGTTGTGCTGGCTTCCTGAGAATGTAGTGGTGTATAACTCACTCATGTTATTTTGTGTTTTTTATGTGCAAAAGTAAATAAATGCCTTTAAGATATATTCTTAAGAGGCTTATATTACTGTATTTTATAAGTTAGAATTTCCTTCATTTGCAAAACTTTTAATGTAAAAGGACTCTTGGGACCTTATAAACCTAACTTTTATATTTCTTGGATTTTGAAGGCAATCCAGCATCCGTCAGATGAGAAGTTGCAAGAGAAGGCATGGGGTGCAGTTGTACCACTAGTAGGCAAATTAAAGAAATTCTATGAATTTTCTCAGAGGCTAGGTAAGTTAAAATTTTTGAAATTTTTAGTTTCCTGGTGAAAAACATGTTTATTAGGTCCAAAGTTAGAGTATTTTCTGTTCAAAATACTGAATTTGATTGAATATCTGTTATGTAGGTAAAGCAGGCTCTGTGTGAGTATGTAAGGTCAATTTCCTGAAGGAAGACCTTTTCGATTTCTTTCCATATTGAAGTGCCTCAGTATAAGAAAGTATGTGATACAATTTGTCTACATATCTATAACAAATCCTTTCCCATGTGTTTTTAAAAACACAATATTTAAATAACCTAGGGGCCTGAGGATAGACTCTTAAGAGCCCCATCCTTCCTGGTAGGGGTGGAACCTGGGGCCTTGTGCATGGTAGACAAGTGCTCTGCCACTGAGCGACATCCCATTGAATGTAAACCATCTCTTCCAATAAACTTTATTATATGTAAGCACAGACAATAATTGGAGCAGAAGTGTTTATATAGTAAGTTACTAAAAATTTGTTTGTGAAGCAGTATGGTATGAGTATGTGAATGTGTGTGTGTGCGCCTGTACGTGCTTTCCTTTATAGGTGCATATGGCGGCCAGAGGTTGTTGGGAGTTTCTTTGAGTGCTTCTCCATCTTTTTTAAGGCAGAGTGTCTTACTAAACTGGAAGTTTACTCTTAGCCTAGACTGGCTGGCCAGTGAGCCCCAGCCTAGATCCATTCCCGACATGGGTTATAGGCACATGCCACATGCTCAGCTTTTACATGGAGTTAGATATTCAAACGCAGGTCTTCATTTTTGCACAGCAAGCACTTTACCAACTGACCCCACATTGTCTTTTTCTTACTATAAGTTAAAATTGTATTTAATTTTCCTAAGCATGAAAATTAATTCTTTAACAGTTACTTGCCTTTCAGTCGGATATCTATGTGGTCTGTAGTTTTGCAGTCCTCTGTCTGTCAGTTTAGATATTATCTCTTGGTTATTTTGATTACTGCATATTTAGACTCTTGTGCTGTTAGTGGCTAGCCCCTTTTGAAGTTAAAGTGCTTTAGATAACACAGATTCTACTGAAACTATCTTAAGTTCTTTCTTAGTTTCTTGTCCGTAAAGAAAGAATAACTGGAAAAATAAACCAGATTGGGCATACTTAAATGATTTCCAGTGTTTCAGCCATTGGAATTAATCAGTGTAGTGAAGTCTGTCCCGTGGATACTATTCTGTTTCAGCAGAGGATGTAAAAACAATCTATAACAAAAATCTGTCAGTTTTCCTGCTGTCATTCTAGAGACTTCTGTAAAGTTATGAGTAAAGTGAAGCTCTAGGGTCTAATGCATTTTATGTGAACCTAATCTTTGAAGATAGCCCAGCAGGGCCAAAGCAGATGCCGGTGGAAGAGAGACTATTTCAGTAGTTTGTTTCTCTCTCTCTCTCTCTCTCTCTCTCTCTCTCTCTCTCTCTCTCTCGTCAGACACTTGATTAATAATGGTTCCAATGTCCTTGCTAATAGGATGCATTTCTTTCTTTGCATGATACTCAATGTTGTTAATGAGGGACTGATGTATTAATGTCTGTACAAATTTGATACCTAAAATATGTATTAGGTACTTAGGAGTAGCAGTAGTAATCGAAGTTTGGCTGTAGAGATGTAGCAGCTCTTGTTCGCCTCTTATTAGTTGAGTGGTCTTGATTACATGAAGACTTTCAGTATTTTAATTAGACTTCGAGTCTGTTGACTATTATGCCTGTATCTCTTAAACCTCTGTTATGTCTTCTCTGCCCACTCCATTATGGAACCAGAGAGGGAGATAAATGCCAAAGACAGCTCATGGAACACCAGTAACTATCAGGTTGCACAAAATCCTTCAGAATCTTGTAATCCCAATAAGAGGACTGTGTGGTCTGAGCTGCAGACACATACACCATGGGTTGTACTTCCAAAAACGGACCCTGTTGCCTCCCTGATTTGCATAGTGCTAGAGTCGTAGGTATCACCAGGCTAATTTGGAAGGTGCTGAGTTTGACTGACCGGTTTTAATATTTTGAGCCAGTAAAACTTCCTATACTTGTGTTGGTCTGGGGCCCAGGATCCCTTCCTGTTGGGCAGCTACCTATGGGAAGGTCATATTGATAGTAGACACACTGCTTTGCCTCACCTGGTCTCCCTTCTGCTTTAAGTGCTTATTTTAGGGACTCCCTCATGGAATGTATCCAGCATGTTGATTCTTTTCACTGGGCTAATTTTTTAAATGATGAAATATATGTGTATGTATGTAGGATTGAAACAGGATCTCATGTTACCCAGGCTGGTCTTGAATTGGCTATGTAGCAGAGAGTGATCTTGAAACTTTTCTCTGTTTTACATTTATTGTGTATGTGTGTGCGTGTGTGTTGCTGAGACCATACTTTGGGAATTGAACTCATCACTTACAAATTACTCTCTTTATGCTGGGCATGGTAGCGCATGCCTTTAATGCCAGCACTCGGGAGGCAGAGGCAGGCAGATCTCTGTGAGTTAAAGGCCAGCCTGGTCTACATAGTGAGTTCCAGGATAGCTGGGGCTATAGGGAGACCCTGTCTCAAAAAGACCAACCCCCCCCCAAAATACAAATTACTCGTTTTAATATGTATTAGAAAAATACTGACAACATTTTTATCTTCTTTTCAATCATTAGAAGCGGCATTAAGAGGCCTTCTGGGAGCCTTGACCAGTACCCCGTATTCCCCCACACAGCATCTAGAGCGAGAGCAGGCTCTTGCTAAACAGTTTGCAGAAATTCTTCATTTCACGCTCCGGTTTGATGAACTCAAGGTAGAATTTTCTGCCTGCCGTGGTTGTTAAAAAAAAGTTGTGATTTTTCAAAGAGCACTAAGGAGAGACGCCTGTAAACCTTGTAAATGTGTTCAAATGATTTCTACTAACATTGAACAGAGATGGAGAACTAGATTTGAAAATTGGCAGATCTTTTGACTGTGCAAATAGCAAACCATCCCAATATCAGTCATTTTCATTTTAAAAATCACTGATATAGCAATACTGAACTGCTTTTCTAAGATTGTTTTCTTTGCTAATTTTCCAATTTATTTCAGCGTTCTTTTCTATAAATGTTCATTTTTGTCCCATCCTTGCCACTGTCTTCTGTCCTCGCTCTTGTTCTCTTGCTCTTTATGGTGTTGACAGCTGTGCACAATGCACTGTTAGAGGGGGGATAAAAGGAAAAGCAGCATAGTTTTTATCAGGAGACCTGTGCTCAACATTGGTTCTGGCACAGAAATCAATTAAAAGACTGTGGGCAGGTCTTCTTTGATTTTCCAGAATCTTGGGTACATATTCTAGAAAATGGAGGAACTGGGCTCCTAATTGTGAAATTTCATGTTGTATCATAAACAACTGTAAATTCCCTATTATTAATATTTGGGGCACAGATTATTTGTATGTAAATCTTATAAATCTTATCTGCTGAAGATGTCTTTTTAACCGTTTGTACATTGTTTTATCCAAAGCCAAGTACTTCTACATTACTTTTTGGTTTCATTTTTTAATAACAATCTTTAAAAAAATTTTTTTTAAATATCAGTTTTAGCCATTATAATAGAAATTTTCTCAAGGAAATTTATTTCTCTTTCTTTCTCTCTCTCTCTCTCTCTCTCTCTCTCTCTCTCTCTCTCTCTCTCGTGTCTCTTTTTGAGACAGGGTCTCCCCTGTAGCCTCAGCTGGCCTGGAACTCACTATGTAGTCCAGTCTGGCTTCAGTCTCACAATGATCTGCCTGCTTCTGCCTCCAAAGTGTACCACAATGCCTGGTTGCAATAACATTTTTGATGAACAGACTTTTAATATATTACCTAAAATTATTGAAAAGAAGAAGGAAAGTATAATACTCACAATTGGCAAATAGTCTGTGTGGTTTTATATGTTCAACATATAAATTCAATACAGCATTCAATACAATACAATACAATACAGCTTTCTTGAGTATACCAAATAGTTCTTAAAAATTACATAATATATTATATTGCCAATTAAAACTATATTAGATTTTTACCTAGCTTTACATTAGCATTTGGTATATAACCTTGCTCCTTCATGAATGTCTTCTTTAGATGACAAATCCTGCCATACAGAATGACTTCAGCTACTATAGAAGAACATTGAGTCGTATGAGAATTAACAACGTTCCGGTAAGCAGTGCTTTGACTTGGTGGTAAAAGTGGCTCTCCTCATCTTAGTCTTCATTTGTTACGCATTCATTCACCTGCTCAGATGTTAAAGCTAGTGTCAAAGTTTGTGATTTTGGGTTAGCACAGCCATGAGAAGAGAGGGCAAACTGCAGCAATCCATTATAGTGTTTATTCTTTTTCTCCTGTCTTTATTTCCTGCGACTGTTCAATAAAATTGCCTTTTGCCTGTGTGACATTAATGCTATGACTTTCTCTCTTTTTAACTGAACAGAAGTTTTTACATAAGTGGTTATGCAAAGAATGATTGCTCAGATGGTGAATCCTAGAGAAAAGTTGACTTGGAATAAGAAAGTGACTGCCAGTAACAAGGGTCACGAGGTCGTGGCCTGTTGTACATCTGCACCTCACTGTATAGATGAGGAAAACACTTCTGAGCCTTTTCCTTTCCTAGCACGGCTTCTCCTCTGATTTCTTTAGGCCTGATAATCTCTTACTATCCTCCTCCTAAACTCTTAGTACTTTTTTTTTTTTTACTTTGGAGAAGTTAGTTATGAAGAAAATATTATCTTCTTACTTTGAGAACCCACATTTTGCAAATTGGTGTGAAAATGGGGGATTTCAAAGCACATCTCTGCTCAAGTTAGTAGTTTAGTGTAGATGTACTGGAACTGTCAGGAGCTGGAAGAGCCTAGGAGATTTTTTTTTTGTAAATTCCAAAGAGACCAATAAAAATACTAAAAGAAAAAAAAATCATAAAAATCAAGAAAAAATTCCAAAGATACCATGTATGTATGTATGTATGTATGTATGTATGTATGTATGTATATTTGTATGTATTGATATTAAAAACTACTTAAATTGGTTGTTGTAAGACAGATATTAGGTTGGAGTAAAGCTTTCTCTTTTATTTACAACAGTCATGTTTTACATAGACTAGTTCCTAGTATGAACCTGACCATACTTACCTTTTAATACCCACCATGTAAAATAGAAGCACAACCTTTGCCATCAACACTCAACCAGCCAACATTAGCCATGACTTTGCACTGTCTTTTACTCTGAACAAATACGTGTTAAGCCAGTAGTTAGTTCCCAGTGAGATCTCGCTCAGATTCCTGCCTATCTCTTTCATTTACTACTTCTATTTCATCTGAGAGCCCAATTCTCTTCCCCTTTCAATTACCTTTTAGCAGCATAACTTATTTTCTGACCTTTTGGGAGCAATCTGCTTACTATTGTGGCTTAATTTTTTTTAAAGTTTACTTGATAGTCTAATACTCTGAATAGCTCCTTATTTGGAAGTAAACCATGAACTTAAAGTAGCATTTAAGACTGTCTACAGTCCCCACTCTCACTTTATTTTTCAGTAGTTGCTGTCCCCTATTATACTGAATGCTGACGTGTGTTCTGCTAAGTCATTTAGAAACATACTTTCCCCTCTGCATGGCAGGAGTGACTGCCTTGTTCATATCTGCACATCGTCATCTGGAAAGCCCAACTCTCCTTTTACTCCTCAGTTTCTTCTAGTCTCTGTCTTTTTCTCCCCTTTTCCTTTGCTTGCATTTTATTCTACTGTGTGACACGTGTTCATAATGAAGACATCATGTAATTTTATAATCATCCATCTGTTCTCCATAGCCTTTTGAACAATCTCTTGTGTAATAAGAAGTCCCATCCAGGTTTTTTACAGTTCCATAAAGCACCTACCATGCTTTAGTGGCTAGTTGTTTTTAAAATTGCTTATCATTTGCAATCTTTTATTTTTAAAGAGTATTTGAGTAGCCGGTGTCCATGAAGGTCTCAATTAATTTCAAGGGTATTTCTTACATGAATCTAATAAAAACTATAAGGCAGGTACCCTCAGTCCTCTCATGCATGTCATCCCATCCAGCACCTTGTGAATCAATGTCAAGTGGTCTTACTCTCCATACAGGCAGAAGGAGAAAATGAAGTAAATAATGAATTGGCAAATCGAATGTCTTTGTTTTATGCTGAGGCCACTCCGATGCTGAAAACCCTAAGTGATGCAACAACAAAATTTGTATCCGAGGTAAGTTGCTGGGGAAGCTCTTCTTTGTACTGATACTCTTCCACTCACTGCACGCAGTCTTGGCCAGTGTTGTGACTTCAAGTACCATCTCCAAGCTGACACCCCCAAGTATGTGTGTTGGATCTGAGGCTCTCCCCAAACCTGCAGAAGCACACTTGCCCCTTGCTTGCAGTTTATCTCTGGGTGTTCTTTGAACACGGCAGTGATAACATGGCCCAAGTGAACTCTGATTGCCTTTCTAACCCTCCTCTTCATCCTGTCTTTCTCCATTAATAAGGACACCTGTACAAGTAAAACTAAGGTATTAAGTATTTTAAATTTTCTTTCTTTGCTGCTTTCTCTTCCATAGAGCAGTCTTACTGGCTCTTCCTCCAAAATGTGTCATATATCTGAAAGTTTTAATTAATTAATTTTTATTTTGTGTGTATGAGTGTTTTGACTGCATGTGCACCCATGTTGTGTAATGCCCATGGAAGCCAGAAGGTGGTATTGGATGCCCTGGAGCTGGAGTTTTGGACAGTTGTTAGCTGCCATGTGGGTGCTGGGAACCAGTCCTGGGTCCTCTGCAAAAGCAGCTGGTGCTCTTAACTGCTGAGCATCTCTCCAGCCTGCATCTGAAATGTAATCCTTACACTTACTACCTGTCCATATCAGACTGTTACCCTCTCATCTCTTCTTACTTTCCCCATGTTCGCTTCACAGTAGTTCTTTCTGTTTAAAATGTGTCCCATGGCCTGGTGAGATGGTTTAGCACGTAAAGGTGCCTGCCACCTTAGTTTGATCCCCAGGACCCACAAATTGGATGGAGAGAACTGACTCCTGTAGGTTGTCCCCTGATCTCCACATGTGCAATAAATAAAGTGATTCTTGGTCCTTTGAGGATAAAATCTCTTATCAGAGTCCCATATCTCTGAAAATCTCTTATCAGAGCCCCACGTCTCCTGTGTCTGCAAGGCTGTGCTGCTTTGCTCCTGTGGCAGTAAACTGTCTGGGGACAGCAGGATCTTAGCTGCTTTGTTCATGACTATTCCTCTGAGCGTGGAACATTGCTTTGAATCCAGGTCCTTACTTGGAAAATTAGGAGTAGGAGACATATAAAGTTGCTAATTTGTGAGATTCTGCTATTTTTAATTATTCTCTAGTAACAACTTAATCACTTTTACTTCTTTTGTTCTTTGTACACTTACAGAATAAAAATTTACCAATAGAAAATACCACAGATTGTTTAAGCACCATGGCTAGTGTATGCAGAGTCATGCTGGAAACACCGTGAGTATTAGCTGATCCTGTCACCACCACCACAACTGTTGAAATAGTTGGTGTTTCAAAACAAATGAAATATGAACATGTTTTATATGGAAGGTGAAAACTAAGTTTATACCAGCTGTCAAATGTCAGTTGTATGAATGAAGTCAAAATGATATGGCAGCTTGATGTATCCTCTGATGAAGCATAGAGCTGGAATCCAGTAACTTACTCCCTTCAGAACAGGAACTGTGGCATCTTTGGGGACAGGAAGAACTTTAGTTATAGACATTCTTCCCCTTCAAAAATAAAGCACTCTTCTTTTTTACCAGAGGGCTGTAATTAACTCTCTGCTTATCTCTTTCTGTCCCAGTGCTAGTTCTGTTCTTTTTTTCTATACAAAACTGAATTCTCTTCTGAGTTTCTCTTTTTTCTGAGGTATTTGTAATATGTATGATTTTTCTGTAAGCAGTCAAAAAAAAATCAGCCTTGGATTCATTTTTTAAAATTTGTATTTTAAAATATTATTTTTATTTTATGTGTTTGAGTGTATTATGTAAATGCACCTGTGTCATGCAGTGCCCTTGGAGGCCAGTAAAGGGCATTGGAGCCCCTAGAACTGGCATTACAGGACTGTTGTTAGCCTCCTGTGAGTGCTGGGAATCAAACCCAGGTCTTCTGCAAGAGCAACCAGTACTTTTAACCTCTGAGCCACCTCTCCAGCCTCCTTAGATTCTTGAATAAGATATTAGGGAATTTTTGTTTTTGCAGCACTTTTTTTTCCCCCAGATTGTTATTCTATGCATCATCTTACTGGTACACCTTATGGAGCAAGTGACCTCCAACTCTGCCTCCTCTTGTGTAAGGAAATGGGGTCCTGGGATATGAGGGACTGGCACAAAGTACTGGGTCACCATATTCTCATTGTGAATATGGGCTCCTGCTTTGCCACATTGATTTCTGTACAGATCAAGGTTCTGTTTCCTTTTTCCCAAAAGAGAAAATGAGCTGGGCATGGTGGTCACACACCTTTGATCCTGGCACTTGAAAGGCAGATCCAGGTGGATCTCTGTGAAATCGAGGCCAGCCTGGTTTATGTAGCAACTTCCAAGCCACCTGGGACTACAGGAAGACCTTTCTCAAAACAAAACAAAAACCAGATGATGAGGATATGATTGAATCCTGTAATATAGTAGTATGTCCATATCAAGCTACCCACACAATAGCCAACCTGCTTGTTTGATCAGGTTACTGACTTTTCTCATCATGTTGCTAATAGCCATTACATAGTACCCAAACTCTTAGTAATGGGCTTCTTTTGCTTTTTATGAAATTGTTGTCTGGCATGTCCTTGGGCCTCTTAGCAACATACTCTGTTCCAAAGGCCAAAAATGTTGAAAGTATTTGGGAGCTTTTATCTAATCCTTAAAAGATTTTACGATTATCTCTTCAGAGGAGGGAATGTTGGAGTAGCCAAAAGCCCCATAAAAGAAGAAAGAGTACATGAAGTTATCAGAAAAAAAGTGATGGGAAGCTATGGGAGGAGTTGGAGGGGAGGGAGTGGGCATGGATTTGATCAAAACACCTTACATGCATGTATGAAATTCTCAATAAATTATTTAAAAAGAATAAAATCTATTAAAGAAGGTTAAAAACAAGAAAAAGAAATTGTCTGGCAAGCAGAAGGGATAATAGTAGTGTGGATATACATAGAGACCTGAATAGGTGAGTGGTAACTGCCCTACCACCATCATTTCCCTATGGATGACTTCCCCTGGAAGGCATAATGTCATCCATTCCAAAGAAAGATCAGTATGCATTGAAAGTGGGATTAGTTCATTAAAGAGTTTTGTGATGTGCCTCATCCATCAATGTTTTCTGCTCTCCAGGGAATACAGAAGCAGATTTACAAATGAAGAAACAGTGTCATTCTGCTTGAGGGTAATGGTGGGCGTCATAATACTCTATGACCACGTACATCCAGTGGGAGCATTTGCCAAAACTTCCAAAATTGATGTAAGTTGCATATTATTTTATATAATTGCAAACTGTTTTCTTACATGAAAATCATGGTGTAGCAGGCTGAACTCTCACAGACTGATTGATTATACTTTGTGATACTCATGGACTCTCATCTTCTCTGCCTTCTTGCTTTTCTGGTAGCTAGCTTGTATGCAGGTGGAGGTAGATAATTGAGGATAACTATGTTGTCTCTGGAGCATCTCCTTGTAGGGGCATTAGTAATAATTAGATAAAGAAACTTCCTAATCATGTCTTTTGTCCAAAGACTACTTCAAAGAAAAGATTTACTTTTCATTGTATATTAAAAGTAGTTATTGGTGCTTTCATTGAAAAAGTAGAAGGTTGTTTGTATTTTCTTTCCCTTTTTATTAC